CGTCGTAAGGCATTTTTGCCGTTCTATAGACTTGCGCTCTCTCTCTTTCTCTTCTTAGCTAGTAATAGTAGTAGATAGTTCTAGATAGCCTTTCTTTTGATGTATTTTTCTTTTTCTAAATTTCATGTATATATTTTCTAAAATTATTTAATAAAATTCTGCAATATTGCGCTTTTGCCTTTAACTAACTTTAGATTTTTTTTGACCGATGGTACACAAAAAATGAGAAAGTTTGATGGCCTAATTGTTTTAACCAAATAAAGTTCATATATCATATTCAAAAATCTCAATTTTAGTTCGTAAGGTGATTTTATCTTTGACGAAAGTTCTAATTTTTCGAAAGCAAACAATATAAAATAACGAATACTCCTCCGGTTTTGACGAAAATTATGAATTTACAATTATTTCCTTAAACGTAATTTAAAGGTTCTCTTTTAAATCTCCGTTCTTTGATATTTTGTAAGCTCTTTATTTAGCACTTTCACCTTTCATTCTTCTATATTTGTACTTGACAAAACTCATTTTACATCTCTTCTTCCTCACATTTTCTCAATCTCAACTTTTTCACATTTCAATCCATTTTGCATTGAAAACATGATTCGTCTTTTAACTTTCGTAACGGTTTTCGTCATTTTGTCTTGGGTTTTACTTCGGTCCGTAAGTTGAAATCTGCATTACCAGTAAAAAAATGCTGAAACTTTAACTTGTTATATATATATTTTTTTCTATGATAAAAACTCCGTTATTTATAAACATTGTAGGACTTTTCAATATTTTGTCGAAACCATTGGAAATGCGGCTTCCGGTGATAAATCTTTCGGCGGTAAACACACTATTAATAGGATTGAATTCAACTTTTTTTTTTTTGCTGTTACCAGAAAAGGGGTTAGATTCCAAGACAAAAAAAATCAAAAGTTATCATAATATTCATTTTTCAACACTTTCTTGATATCACGAGTCCATTTTAGGAAACAAATCATATAGTGCTATTTTTTATAACAAGTTTGCGAATTTCAGAAGCTATGGGAGCTTGTGTTATGTTCTACAAGTTTATTTCTATAATTGGATGGTGTTTTTTTTTTCTTAGTTTAGTTAATGCATCGGGCTTTTAAGCCGTTTTGTGATATGACGTTTAATCTTTTGTATTCTGTTATCGATTTTGATCTGATTTTTATTGAAAAATTGGATATCTAACTTTACCATGATGAAGCTCTGCTTATAGCAATGTATACCTGACTTTATTTTATTTTATTTGTTTTATTTTTTTTTTAAAGAAAAAGTGAATAAAGATTTAAATCTAAATATGGGAGTGTTTCTAGGAAAATCAGGTTCCGAGAAATTTTTGACTAAAATTAAGAGCTTAATTACATTTTAATCCAATAACATCAAAAAATTCCAAAATTCCCGGAACCTGATTTTCCTAGCAATCAACCCATATTTAATTAATTGATGTTTTAAATAAAAGACAAATAAAAAAATTTTCTTGCAAATAGTTTGAACTCAAAGCTTAGGAATTCTTCCGATCATTAACATGATCGGATTCTTTCTTATTTCTTGTATCATCATCTCATTATTGTTTCTTAATGCTTTAAAAATTGATTTTAATGAATTCTTCATTATCCAATCCGTTGTAAGCAATACCAGTGGGGACCTATCCACCGCTTACACTCAATAAAAACAACGGAAGATATTATAGATGACATTTTTTTTTTTTTTTGACAAAAATTTATTTTTCTTGAGGGATTTATATAGGCGTTTTTTTTTATTTAAAGGGTTAAATACATATTTATCGCGAAATTTTAACTCTCTATGGTTTAAGCGGGACCAGGGTTATTGCCTTGCTTATAAATCAAATTGGATCACTCCGATACGCCAATTATCACTACCACACACAAAAAGTTAAAAATTTTAAGCTAAATCAACTGGCGCATCCCGATCACTAGTACAATCGCGAAAATTTACATGGGAAAAAATATTTTTGCTATATAAAGAACCTTCGTTCGAGAAAAAAAATTGTGGAGTGATTTTAGTAGCATAGAAATAGCAATAGCCATAGCCATAGCATAGCATCGCTAACATAGGATAACATAAAACGGAATATTTCTCGTACGACAGTAAAAAGCCATCAAAGGCTAGAAAGGGGAAAACTAACCAAACTAAGGAAAAGATAAGCAAAATCGTCAAAATAACTACGAATTTTAGTAAACTACTGAAGATACTTCTTCTTCTTCTTCAAATTCAGCTCCTAAAAGCTGTAACCATAACACATTACGAGTTCGTTCTTTGCGATTCATATTAAAAGCCAATGAAACAAAAAAACTATCGATCCGATCAAAAAAATTGTGCTTGTAACACGGCAAATTTTCGGATTTTTTCTTTCGCTAAATATCGTTAGGATGACAATTCGTTAGGATAACAATATCATATAGGATGACAATTCGTTAGGATAACGATATCGTTAAGGTTAACATACCTTTAGGATGACATTCGTTAAGGCAGCGTCTTGAAATGACCTCAATTGACATCATTTTTATTAAATTTCAAGTCAAACTGATCAAGCTCATTTGAAAAAATAGTAAATGACCTTATAAATTTCAATCACTGCGTTAGGGTAACATCGTTCTAATTAAAAATATATGCCGGGATTTGAAGTTCTTAAAAGTGTGGCATGTACAGTCGCGTAGGAAAGTGACGCCCGATTTAAATTACATATAAAATGTATTTTCCGGATTTTACAATTAAAATGGTTAAGCTCCCAAGTTAAATATTTTTTTTAAAAAATATGACTAATTTGCTGTAAAATTATGCAAATTTAGAAACAATTATTAAAGAAATATATATGTATGAATTTTTTTTTGGGATCTAAAACATAAAAAAATCTTTAAAATTTTATTTAAAATTATATAAAATTTAGAAATAATTATCAATTTCTGACGCGACTGTTATTTTTCACAGCTCACCTTCCTTTATTTTTTGCATATATACACCTTAATCCTTCCCTTTCTCCCTTGCTATATTATCGCCTTCGTTATTTTATCTCCATCAATATCTTAGTAACTTCGTTAATTTCGTTATATTAATTTTTAGCGTTTAATTGCGAAAGTGTAGAGCGCTGACACTGGTTAATTAATTTATTGTACAATATTACATCATAATGATTTAATTACTTATTAATAAAATGCCTTCTGCTTATTTTTAAATACATAAAACGAAGAACTGATCTTTTTGTCAGTTATTACTGCGCTTTGTGTAATACACGTGTATGCGTGACGTTACAACAATGCATTAATATGAGACCATTGGGGACATAGTGTGGGACAGTGTTCGGAACTTCCTTCCGTTGATCATTGAAAAAGGGTTTGTTTTTTTGAAACATTTAAAATGATCTTTAACAAATTTCTTAAATTTTAAAATTAACATTTTTTTTATAAAAAAAAAAAAAATAATAAAATTAAAAAAATGAAAGTAATGTCAATTTTTAAAATCATAATATTATCGATAATTTTACAAATATCAATAACACAATGTGTTCAACTTCCTCATTTAAAAAGAAAATTTACAACAAAATCCAAACATTTTAATAAAAAAGAATACATCAGTTCTACGGCTGACACAAAAATGAGGTTTGGAATACAATGTACACTAGATGATATTGATCTTTGTAGGAAAATCATCAAAGCGACTGAAGATGTTGGAAAATTAATTTCTTCCGTAATATTATTTGATGAACCCTTAATTGTAATAGCAATGATCGAAGAAGCTTGTGTAGAAGATGATTCTTGTCCGAGTGATGGCGATATTTTCGGTAATGTTTTAACGTTTTGAGAATTCTCGCACAGAGAACTTTATGGAAACATACATTAAAAACCATTTTTTTTTTTAAAAAAAAAAAAAAAATAGGAATAGCTGTTCCTGGATCATTTGTTTTATTAGAAGATTCAGGAATCGAAAGACTTTATCCACAGCCATTAGCGAAACAATTTTTCAAGGAGCATCCAGATTATGACGATATAGACATTATGGTTCAGTTTGTACTCCGATCAAATTATAGTTATTGGTTTCAAGGAGATCCTTTACCAACTGATAATTCCACCACAATAGATTTTGCATATATGATGTTACATGAAATTATCCATTCATTAGGATTCTTTTCATCGTGGGGAAGTTGGTTTGAACAAGTTGATAATGAGATACCATATCTAACTCCTGAACCTCGATGTGTAAATGTCGATGATGATGATAGATGTAATTTATGGACTGGATTTTATGAATATATATTTGATAAATATCTATTGAATTTGAATACTGGTGGAAAATTAACGGACAAAACTGTTCAATTAAATAAATTTTTTGGTTCAGATGGAATTCCCAATCTAAGTAAGAACTTTTTAAAAATAGATTTTATACATTCTCCGCAATTTGACATTGCAAAAGAAATGAACGTACTGGCAACTACTAGTGGTACAATTGGATTCTTATCTTGGAATGATACCGATTTTAGTGATTGTCTGGTGCTGGAAACAAATATCAACCCTTTTGATAATATCATTAGTCTCAGTCATGTTGACAACGTAAAATACAATAATACAAGTGATTTCTTAATGAGAAATGACCCGCTTTTAGGGAGATCACTTCATGAAAGTATTATTACTGGTGGGAATTACACAAATGGAACTTTAGCTGGATCTATTGGTCCTAAATTAAGAAAAGTCTTGGAAACATTAGGGTATGTGAATCTTTGTTTTCTTAAAAATTTTTTTTTTTTATAAAAAAAAAAAGAATGGATTAATTCATTTTCTTTTTAGATATCCCACCGTGGACAAATCAAATACATTACATAGTCCAAATCTTCCTAAACCACATTCGTTTTATAATAATTCAGGAAATCATTCAACATCTATCGCCATATGTCAAAAATATTTGCTTACAATTATTGTAATTTACTTTATGAAATTTATATAAAGCATACGTATCTGGAGTTGAATAAAATTATTTATTTTCAATTTATCACGATAATTTTTTTTTTATTTTGCAAAGAATGTTTGGGGGTTATAATTCGAAAAAAGTGAGTTGAAATTATAATTTTTCATTTTCCAAATGAAAGACGTGATTGAAATTATGTGAAAAAATAGCAATATGATATGATTGGCCAAGATCACCGACGATGTTTCAAGGTAGATCATTTGTACATATTTTGTATATTTTTGTTTTGGACATACTATTTCTGGAAAATATTGAGCAAGAAATTTCATCTCGTAAAGTTTCCATCCATATGAAAGTTTGACTACCTTGTATATATTGACCGATCAAAGACCGGAAATTGACTTCATTTCAGGTCATGCTTACATGGATTCTATAAGGTCGAAGAGCTGATTTAATGGACACGCAAATCCATTATCTTTCGCAAGGAGAACATTTCACCGAAGGTTTTTTGATTTAGTTAGGTTAGTTTTTAATTTATGTTTAGGTGAATTATCGTTGATTTGGTAACTACTATAGGTCTCAGCGACAAGTTGAATTTGTAGATTTGATGGGAGCGGCCGAAGAGTACTCGTAAAATCACTTGAAGTCGCGCATGCGTGCAGCCAAACATCACATAAAAAAAGGTATGCTCAATGATTTTTGTGATATGTGATAATTAAACTCTAAACCGGTTGCTCTTTATTTCTGATATTCGGACTTGAATCGATCACGATATGAACGACACGTTCAAAATGTAGGTACGGAAGATTCTTCTCAGAGACGAAGATGGTACAGCATTTTGATCTGCAGATCAACATACTACCCAAGATATAAATAAATGTCGAATCAAGTTTCGTGAAAACATTTGACAAAGTCCGAGTTCCACTTTATTCATAGTCGATGTCCTTTTATATAGATAAACATCAACGTACATTTACTCCCCTAGGCCAATCGTGAATTTATTAATTAAATTTTTTTACTTATGATCATACCTATATCACTGATAGACAGGACTTAGAGAGGGTGCATTTATAGATTTACACTTTGAGAGGTTTCTCTGTATCTTTCAAGACATTTTAAGATATTTTTTTTTTTTTTTTTTTTCCAGAAGTTAGGAATTTCAATTATTTTCTAAAGAGCCTTAATTTTTTTCTGAATAATTTAATCTTACATCCATTAAAAAGTATGCTGTCTTCGAAATGAATGTCTTTTCCCTGATCTCGAATCAAAAAAAAAAAAAATTATAAAAAAAATGTACACAGACACGGAAGAAGCAGAGCTAGGTAGGATCTTGAAGGTTTGATTATGTAGCGATAACTCTTATATGCTAATTTTACATAGTTGACTTTTCCGTTTTTGTCTCGAAAACAAAATTTCACAGGCTGATGCAGTGCCAACTGCGAACAAAGTATGCAGAAAATATGAATTTAAGATCATGATTTGAAATATAGTCAATTATTGGTTAGTTGCCTTATGATCCTTTTTTTTGTTGCTACGTTCTTGGGCTGAAAAACCCATTCAGGTATTCTAATGAACTAACCGCACGCTGGATTGGCTGTTCCATTATCAAAGGCTGAACTGAAGACGAAGATACTTCCAATAAGCTGGATTGTAATTTCCTAGAAACGACCTTTCTATAAGAATTTTTCACAAATTTTTCATCGTGTGTCGACATGACACTGTGTTTATTACAAAGCTGACGAAAGGTAGGCAAGAAAGCATCATAATCAAACTTTATATTATATAATTGACTATGTGCAGATGAAGCAAAGCATAAAGGTTCTGGAGGCAAGTATTCTTTTACAATAAAATAACTACATGTTATAAATACCTTCAGAGTATTGTCTGATTTCTCATCTTTATTATTTGGTAGTGCCAAAGTGCTTCGCTTGAAAATGAGGATGATATAGGAATAAAATTCACTTTTTAATTTTGAGTTGGATGAACATCTTTGAAGATAACTCATATAATCTAAATATTAGAATTAATGATGTTTTGTTCGCACCATAGGAAATCTTACTGAAAGTTCCGGAATGTTATGTAAGAAAATTTTAAAACAAGATGTATCGTATTAAGGTTAGTGTTAAAAAAAATTGTTACCCATTCTACGAAGGAGTCAGATCCAAAACATTGATGACAGATGGCTTATTATCAAATTAAATTAAGCACACGTATCAGAGATTAGAAAAGTGTGATTTTCATATACCTG